TTGTATTTTCGAATTCTTATTTCTTACTGCACTTGTACACTAATACCCTTCGCATCGAATGGTCTTCAAAACTGCTTGTTTAAGGTGCGCAAATGTTCGGTTTATTATAGATACTGATTGCATGCTCGAAGCAATATTTCACATGTTAAATGAAATGAAGAAAATGTACAGTACTTTTTAGAGCAGATCCAATATGTTGCGCAGGAACACTAACGCCCATATATTTGAATTGTGTTTGCAATAGGCTGGCTAAAGCCAGTGGCACAAGTATTCAATTTATTATAGATACAGATAACATGCATGCATAAGATATTAAATTAAAGTTGAGAAATATCAGCTAAATCTTAAACAATACAATATGTTTTACTCCGCAATATTCCGTATGTAGACAAGTAAAACCCATCGGCGCTTTGGATTTTGGCATTGACTTTGATATTGGATATTGGCATTGACTTTGATATTGGATATTCACTTGGATATTGGCATTGACTTTGATATTTGCTTTTACGAAGCGCAATGCAGCTGTAAAATGTCACTAATGTAGTGTTAAGAACACACGACATTTATAACTGTCTCATTTGAAGAGATATTTAAATTCATGAAAGTAAAAAAAAAATTTTTGCTTCCACTTTTGAGTGAATCAATCAGCATATTGAAATATAAATAGCGGTGTTGCTAAATGGCACCTACTTTCCTGTTCTAATTAGTTTTCTAATTTCGTTGGTCCCCATTGGCTTCTCGGTTTTGTATCACGCTTTTCTCGGCTGCCATCCATAGCCGCTTAAGCTCATTTTAACGTGTTTTTTTTAAATAGTTTTTTTGTTCCGTAAAGGTAGAACTGTAATATGCTTTCAAAAAATTCCGGAAAAGTAATTCTCGTCCTTAAGGGGATTTTTTGTAAAAAAAAGTTTTATTTAAAAAATTCATTTGTGTAAGTTTTTAAAAATGAAAAATTTCATTAAATTGGGATTCATATTATTTTTTGTAGACCATTACCACAATACGATCAAAAAAATCAAGAAAGAAAGAAATCGAGCCGTTTTTCCACAAAATGGCGATGGAGTTTTTCTGAAAATGCGAAAATTCTAGCTCACTTTCACAGCTAATTTTGCGTTCATCCTAAATTTTATACATTATTAGGGCTGACGCACGGACGGAATATGGTTCATTTAACAATGCATTTTATCTATTACATTTTTAAATATTAACTTATATTATGATTTAAGTTTAAAATCTAACGTCCGCACGATCTCTCAGAAAGAAAAGTAATGTTTTCTTTGCAGAAATTTAGCTAATTCGATACATCTGGCACTATCTTATCTCACCTTGGCCGACTCCCCTTCGCAAGAAAGAACAATCCCCGACTTCATTCCCTCTTGCACGTCCTTTGTTTAAGACTTCCTTAGGCCCCTCCATCCTCATTCTCCCAAACTGTTACAAACTCACTGAATGCAAATGTCAACATAACAATTAACACTTTTCAAAATAATACGAAAACTTAATACACTTCGTAATTAAAATTGCCTGCGAGGTTCCCCATGTTCCTGAGATTGTTAATTCCTGGCGATACAGCAACCATACCCTCGCAGCTCAGTACGCTTGTGTTTGTAACCAAACATCTGGCGCGAAATAAATGTTGAATGCTCATTAAGTACAGACGTTTTTCTACCTTCCTCTACAAAACAAACTAGTGGTGCAACAAACTTTGGTCTCGGCTAGCTATTCGAACTTGTCACAATCTCTTGCTATTTGCCACCTATCACCGCCCAAAAGTACATTAAAAAAAAATAGTCTCAATTTTTCCATTTCTTAATAGTTGAACCGAATTATTATTTTAAGAATATTAAAGAAGAGTAAAACCTCGTCCTATACGAATCTTTTCATTGAAAAATTTACAGCCTTTTGTAAGAAAATTATGTTTAAGCGTTATTGAGTTTTCAAAAACTTCACTTGAAGTCTCAGCATTCTTAGTCCAAATGTAGTAGTGTTTACAAATTGGTGGAAATTTGCATATTAAGGGCGTGAGAGATTAAAAAAATTACATTTGTGTTATTTAAAAAAACACAAAAGAATATAGCAATATGAACTTTTTGCCATATTAAACTGTACAATTAGCACTATCTGTTAGAAAATATTAAGAAAGACATTGGAGCTATTTTTGAGAAAATGGAGTTTGAGCATTTCTGAAAATACTGAAATTAAGGCTCATTTTCGAGAAACTTAATCTGACGTTATTTAAAGCACTTGTATTCATAAATACAATAATGGTAATAAATTACCGCTAATGTAAATAATAACGACGTGAGAGACAAGTAAAAAACTACAATTTTTGTAATTTTTGAAAAAAACAAAAGAATAGAGCGATATTGCGTTTATGTCATCTTAAAGAGTGGAATTAGCACTATCACCACTAACCCTTTAAAAAAAATTTGGAGCCGTTTTTAAGAAAATTTGGTTTTTGTAATTTTTTAAAATTGCAAATATTTCACGCACTATTTCTCTACTACAACTAAAGTTTTCAAAAGATGAATATGACCTTATTTGAAAGAACGGATTATGAGCAACAAATTGCATTTGAAGGAAAATGCCCTATCTTCAATTTTGTAGTAGTAGAAAGATGCCGGAAATAATTCAAAGTTTTGAAATTTTTGGAAACTCTTGAGTTACTCCTGAAAATCGTACGTATACCATCTTTACTAGCGTATTTTACTTTATTTTTACAACAAATTTAGACAACAATTGGAGCTGTTTTTGAGAAAATTTTGAAAATGACCTTCTGACTTCCTGTAAAGTACCCCCAAATTATAAAGTATGTTTGTCAAAAACTCAAATCTTCGAAACGTGCCAGATCGACAGGGGTTTCTTCAATATGGAAAAAATTCTAGGCATGATGTGGCTAGATGCTAGTGGTGTTCTCAGACGTAAAGTTCAAGTATGTAAGTACGGACGGCCGAACGGACGGACGTTTTCAAAAAAACTTTTTAGGTATCAGGGAACCCGAAAACGTATATTTCCGTTGAAATCTCGAAAGAAATTTTCTGCAGCATTACATAATTTTCCTTATACTACGTATACGTATTACTCCGTATTTACGTATGTATACGGGAAGTAAAAGGGAAACAGAAGAAACAAAAGATCTTTAATAGAAGGAAATTTGTTTTGTGACTGAAAGTTTTTGTAATTGTAGACTGAAACTTTCAGAACTGTTTAGTTCAGGACATTGTGGAGTCACCGAGTTTTGCTGATGGAATAATTATGAAGCTTCCAACTTGTTTGGTACAAAATGCAAAATAGCAGACGGACGCGAGGGTCGGGTCACGTTCGGCGCCAAGAGGCCCCGATTAGTCACACTCTCCGCTGAACCATTTCTTTGTTCATGATCGCAGCAGGAAGAGGCCCTTTGGGACCTCTACGCCTTGTTAATGATCTGTTAAGTGTTCGCTCGCCGGGAAAACTCCGACTCACCCTCTCGAACTCACCCACCCGACGATCTACTAATAATTAACTTTAAGTTACGAGAAATGTCGGGGCACTGACGAAGCGATGCACGTTCATTTTATAAACAAAAAAGTGACAAAGAAGGTGATAATGTAACTTACCATTCGGGTCGCCTAACACGCGTCCGGTGATTGGCCGAAATTCTTCTGCAACGCGATAACCGTATACCAATGGCCAGCAATTTTATCAACATCTTGTAATCTTCTAGTACTTTTGAAAGGGGGGGATAACCGAGACCACCAGAGACTTCCTTACAAACCGCCAGGCACTTCTTGACAGAGAACTGTCCGCACCAATACTTGATTTCTTGTTAAACAACCGGGCACCTGACTTCATTTTAGAACGCTGTAATGCGCGTTTTAAACCGCGTTTTACTGTGTATTAAACCACCTTTTAGAAGCAATGTGTGGTAAAGTTTCACCCACATCTGCTTGCGTATTTTGATAATTTGAAGGACACATTGCATTTTCGAAATTACGCTACATGGTTTCCATGGTTTCACAATTCCGTTAGGTTTCGTTAAGCACTACAAACATTTGTAAACGTTATCAAAATGAACTGAATTTTGAGCGCCTGCGGCATCGTATCTGAAAGTGGGAGTTGAGGAAGATATGTGTGGACGCGTCTCCGGTTAACTCTGGTGGGGGTCGCGATTCACCCGGAGGCCTCCAGCTATCTGCTGCTAGAGCTTCCGCCCCAGTCCTTGAACCGCCGGAACCGATGCACGTCTTGTAAGACGATCGGGCCGCACGGTGAAAGAAGGAAACAGCTGGAAGGGGCGAATGTCCGCCACAACAACAACAACAACAACAACAACAACTACTACTACTACTACTACTACTACTACACGGGTGATGTCATCGCAGAGCCTGGCAATGGAACTACTACAACACGGGTGATGTCATGGCAGAGCCTGGCAATGGCTCTTGTGCGGTCCTTAAAGCAATATTGAAAAATTGACCTTTGTTCAAAAAAATTGTTTGTGTAATTCAGGCAACGATTCTCAGCCGCGCTTTGGCTAGAATCAAATTTAAGTGGCAAACTAATTTTCTGTAAGCGTAGCCTCAAGATTTTCCTGTGTGTTAGATTTTAACTAGAATAAGTTTTGTGTTGGGCGAAACGTACCTCAGGTAGAAACTCACTTCTTGCTATGCTTGTCATTAAACTTTAAATTATACAACAACGTTCATCCATTTCCCTCAATTGCAGGTGGCTACTGCTTTCTGACGTGGTCGACAGGTAAGTTAAAATGGACAAGTGGGGACACAACATGGAACTTGCTATATTCAGATATGATTTAATTAAATATTTTCTGAAATAAGATTTGAAGTAACAATAGCATTTCACAGGCGTAATATCTTGAATCACATACTAATGACATTGTTACTTGTTCAAGATTAATTAATTCATGATTTTCTCTAAGTAGCCTTAGTGTTGTCAATTATTTCTGACTCTTTTTAAAGCAGGTTATTGTTGAAAATTATTAAAGCGGATCCAATAAAATGCATTCAGTATGTGTATTGCGAAAAAGTATTTTCAGTTTCTCGTTTTCTAACCTTATATTCTTCTGTTCTTCGTTTAATACGTCTTTTCTATTTTCGATTTTCTATTCGCGGTATTGGGTCCGTCGTATTACAACAGTGTGTGAGCTACAAGCTAAGAAGTAGTCTCCTTTTCCCTAGCAGAACAGTAGATAAGCACTTACAGACCACAAGACTACTTTGAGACCTGAGTAAGAAAGTATTTTGAAAACAGTTATGCGGCGTGTTAGATTATTTTTTGTGCCACTTATGTTCAAATGTTGAAGCCTATCATACTTAAAATAATGATGCATCTCACAGACATAACTAGAATTCTTATCAGTGACGGGCAAGATAATAATAATTACTATTAGTATTATTATTATTAATAAAACAAATGGTATAAATTGTTTACGATATGGGTGGTAAAAGTAGCCGTCAAGTTTAATTCCTATTAACAGATAAAACGCTTCACACTCCAAGATAACGTATCGCAGAAAATGCAAGAATGTTCTGCGTGTAAAACAAAGAAACATTTAATCTTAAGAAGACTTGAAACTAGTCAGAGAGTCATTTTCAGTGATATATTCCAGCTTCAATATTTCATTTTCTTCGGTTAGGTAAGTTTTCTATTTATTCTCCAATATTAAAATTTATTGAAATACTTTCACTGTTTGAGTTCAATTTTCCTGCTTTTACGTCAGTCCAATACCTACTACAAACTTCTCTCATTTATTTTTGTCAGAAAGTAAATCGGCCATTATTATTTTCAAATAAGCAAATCAATATTTTACAAACGCTAACATTAACAAATATTCGAATAATTATTTAAATACAAATTGTTTACAATACATAAATCATTCATTTTGTATTTTTGTAGAACAAAAATGTACAATGGAGAATGAATCGATCAGTAGAATGATAATTACTTGCTATAAATTGAAACTTGCAGTAAAAAAATGTTCTCAGACGTATCAGCACTTTGGAATGAGAATGTTTCGAGTAACAGTTCAATAATTTGGAGTTAATTGATGTCAAAATTTCGCGCATTTTTTAACGCATTACTCAATCATCGCTCCATGCACATTGGATATTTTGACAGCAGCTATTTAACCACAGATTGCAGTATTAGATTATTCTACATGTAGCAGAAGTCAGATATAACCGTTTAACATTTACAATCCATTTTCTTTGGTTTTGTCCGTTGGAACGTTGTTTTTACAAATGATCGACACGGCTGGTCGATAATAACCGTTTTAATTCTTCAGTTTCACTGGATTCATTGCGATTCTAATTCATTAATATATCCAATATGAATATAATGAATTAATGGTGCAAGAAGATGTGTCCAATGAAAATAAAATTGTAAATTAATGTTTTGTTTCAGAGGATAAGGATGGCATTGCGGAAAGATCCCAGGCGGATCAAAACTAGCGGGCCAGAGTACGAGTGGAAATTTGCTGCACTTGTATACCTTCGTGCCTACAGAAGAGGACTACGATTTCTATTAGCTTCTAACATTGACGGGGCCAAGCCTTTTGACGACGTTTTTCTCAGACTTCACTGGAAAGATAGCAGAGTTGAACAAGGAATCACGTATTTAATTCAACTAAAACACGCGGAAAGACTCGATAAGTCAGTGAGCTTTGAAAATCTTAAAAGTGAGAAAGGTGATTTTAGTATCAAAAAATATTTTGAACTCTATAAAAGCGCGCTTACTGCACAGACAGTCACCGAAAGTAGTAGTTTGAGTGTTGATAATATTTTGCTTCATAAAGAGAACATTAACGATTGTAGATTCATTGTTTACACAACGAAGGTTGTACCACACCAAATAAGTTCTGCCAGTAACTCTAGTATTGATTTTCCCTTCAGTGAATTATTTTCTACGGGAAATGAAGATGATATTTTCTCTTTCACCGAAAGAGATGAATATGTTTGGAATTTACTGAAAAACGACGATTCTTGTGAGCTGTATCGTCACCACTTTTTACCTAGGTTGCGAATATTTACCCGACAGCAACGAGTAGTCGAGTTGGACAGACTCATCGCTGAAGAGATATCAGAAATATTTAATGGGGCACTGCCACGGTCTGTTGGGGTAGCGTTCACAGAATATTTTCGTACCTGGTGGGAGAGGGATGACAGTGAATGTATTACTCACGCGAGTGCTTTGCTTGAAAAGATTGTAAAGTATGAAATCATGAATAGAACATTGTCTGAAGCGCGAGTTCCAGATTCCACGTGCGAATTGTTGGCAAAACGGATGGACGATAAAGACATATGTTACCTAGCTTTTCCAGGGTTATTAATTTCTGAGCGAATTGCATTTTGTAAGTTTATTCTTGAAATGGATTACTCAGGTCGGTATATAGTATTAAACGATACTGAAATTAATATGTTTCCGTTAAGTTCTATTGTCGTTACATGCAAGAAACTCTGCGATGCTGTAGCTATTAGTACAGACGGGAGCAGTGAACATATTCAATCTTTACTTTCATTACTGTTAGACAGTGACATACGCAAAATCATAGTAATTACTTCAAACATTGACATCAATTTAAGAATGCTACTCAAATCGTTTGACAAATCGTACGTCGAAATAGAGGAATATTCCCTATCTTCGACTCCAGCACCGTATCTTCTAAATGAGCAACCTCGTAGCCACTTTACAAAACGGAATATTTACAAAAGATCCTCGTTTCCAGGGGAATATTACAATCTAGGTAATGTATCCCAACAGTATGATGGTTTCCAAGAAGAAGAATATGTTTTGCACTCAGCATCTCAGTGTATTGCGAACGTCGACCTCAAACTTTCTCAGATATCTCGTTGCTCGAGGTCGCTTCCCTCCGTTCGATTATCAGACATCGTCTCCCAGACTCCGCCCAGATGTGACAATATTTTCATCCAACAGACATGTGAAGAGAATTCTGAATTCTTATTTGTTAAGAACAGTCGTAAGTTAATTAATGAAACAGATGTACTTAAAGCTATGTCTGTTGAAGTTAGAGATGTAAATATTAGCGCCAAAATACCCGTGTTGCGAGTCAGGTCATTTGGAGAAGATACAAATATTTAGATATTTAAATAAATGTGAAAGTGTTCTGATAAAGTTGATATTATTTTGTTCACGTATGAGTAGAATAAACACTTTTAGATTAATTCTTGATATTGAAATAATTTCTAATATCCACACCCGTCTACTTTATCCTCTTACATGTCTTCTTCGATGACCCAGGCAGTGTTAATATTGCATGGAAAATTTCAGAGATTGCAGATTGCTTAATAAAACAATCGACAATAATAATTATAATAATAATAATATAAAATTGTCGTTCTTTGTGGGGAGGCACAGGCCTTAATGTTTTCTCTTCCGCCTAACAACTTTAATGAATTAACAATTTAAAATTATTCAGTTCTTGCGTTCAGATGTAAATAATATTAACTGTTTCATGTTATAGAAACAATTGAGACTACCTAGGCGAGCCAAGCGAACTAATTGTCATTTTTGTTTGTTCTTGAAAATTTTGCTAAATGGAAAGTCATAATGCAAGGGACAATCTTAAAATGAGGTAATAGATGTCAACTAATCCCACTTAGAACCAATAATTCTAATTTCGCCCAAAACGTCAGTTGACATTTTTATACTCGAAGTGTCTCAACCGTGAAGAATGAACAAAAAGGAGTATATTTTACATTTACGTTTCATGACAACTATTCTGGAGATGAAGCTAATTTTATTAACCGTTTAAATTATTATTACAATTATTATTTCCACTACCATCTCTGAACTGCATCGTGGAGCATTGAACATATTCAAGATGTCCACCAGCCTCACTTTGCAAGCGCGAACCACCTCTACCGCGCGTCTACCCTCCCCCCTCCGAAATGCTCCCGCCTGGAGAATGCCAGCGCCATTTCGTGCCAAGTGCTCGGCAACCTTCCCCTGCCCCTCCCCCTCCACATCCACCTCCACCTCCCCCTCACCCCTCTATTACCCCCTCCCTGCCCCCCTCCCCCACCAACCCAATGTGCGACGACACCGTTGCGCCGTTCTATTTCCTCTTAATTGTCAACAGATGCAAACGGCATATTTTCGGTGCATTAAGGAGTCCCGGTCCAAGTCGTTAGCGCTCGCGTTCTTGGTTCCGCCGGGTAAACAGTGAATGCGGCTGCCGGCGCGAGGGGTTAGGTGCTCTTCAACTCTTCATCGCCTCTTGCGCTTTCACTGTGGGCCGCACCGGCTGAGTGCTGCAGTGCGTCTGACGAAGAGGCCCTAGGATTCCAGTAACGACAGAGGTAATTATTTTCAACACTAGCTACCTTGTTAGGTTGAAAATCCTGCCGCGGGATGACTCGCTTTGATGAGATTCTAGCGGCCGGCTAATTCGATCGGCAGTTTCCTGTGGTTTCTCCTATCAACACCAGGCAAGTGGCGGAGCAATAGCCTCCCAAATGGGCTATGGACCACGCGCGTTCTTTTCTTCCTCTTCCATCTCCTATCTTCACATCCTACTTACACACACTCTTACATGCATTAATAACACGTTCCTGAATTCCAGTGGGAGCTTAGAACTTATCCCGGCTGAGACGGATTTAGGCTGGTAGGATATACCCCAATAGAGGGAAAACTCCGCTGGGCTCCGAAAACGACGTGTAGGTCGGCGCCAAATCTGCGGGGGACCATCACCCAATATCCACCGCCACCCCCAGTGATATAAACATGATATCCACTTACGGGACTAATGACCATAGAAGTTATTGCATTCGGAAACACGAAGAAATCAATCGATCTGTTACCTGAAATTATTTTATAACATTAGATGTTTTCTACAACGTTGCCATAATAAGTATATTTTTGTCGAGATGTCGTTACTGAATGCGAATATATTTTTCTTATCTTTATGACTCTTATTGTGATACACACACACACACACGTGTGTGTGTGTGTGTATGAGACTTGCTACTTCTACGATTTTACTTTCTCGCTACGGAGCTATGTAATGCTCCGTGAAAAAAAGGGGGAATTTTTGGCAGAAAACACATGGTCCTGGAAACGATAAAGTGGATAAATCCAGTTGCTAAATGTGGAAAAAATATCTTTTAACGAGTGGCGTAGCCAGAACCCATGTTTTGTGGGTCTTTGATACCGAAAAATCTAATGTTATCTAAACGTCCGTCAATGAAAAATGCTAGCGGCTAAAAAGCCAAGTGGATTATTTGCGAAATTGATACTTCCTAATTGATTGGTTAATTTCGCACCCCCTTGAATTTGAAATTGATATTTTAATTTTTTGAGGATACATTACATAAAGTCCCTGGGACAGTTTAAAATTTCCAATGAAATGACTACATTGTTTTTCATTAAATTTTGTTCGATGGTGCGAAGGACGTTTATGCGAATGGTTCATGTCTCATGTTCATTGAAAACTCTGACTTTTCGAAAATTGTTTCCGCCTTGCCATGGACCCTATTTCAGAAAGGTTACTAGTTCAAGTTACACGTAAAGAGTTACTAGTACTAGTTATCACAAGTACTCGTAAGTTCTGTTACACAAAGATTTTACAAGTGAATTACCCACAATGCAATTCTATTCCCTGGTTCTTTGAGCCAAGGAGTTTAACCTCCTTGCTTTGAGCAATTTCTGAGACGGCTCCTTGTTTTGCTTTTGGACAGTAAATGAAACTTCACTATTTGCACTCAAGATGTGCGCTGTTGTATTTCCTCCAGATACATCAATTTTGACTCGTTATACAGGATTGTAATTGTATATGTGACTCAATAAACCTATTATTATTATTATTATTATTATTATTATTATTATTATTATTATTATTATTATTATTTTAAATTAATTGTGCGTTTTCCCGTCCTTTGGAATTGAGTAAACTGTCTACCTGTGTTCTTTCGTGTCAGTCACGCGTCCTTATCTTTTGTTTTTTTCGTGTTTATGTTTTGTAGTCTCTGGCGTTGTTTGTTTTAGCCTTTATTTTTACTACCAATTCTATTTATTTTTACTTTCCTTTTTTTTACTTCAATTTCGGACTTCCCTTTGTAGATATCACATTTTCTTCATTCATTTTCAAATTACTCCATTTCCTCTTGAACTTTCTTTCTACTTACTTCTTACTTATTATTCTTACTTTTCTATTTTATTCTTACATTTCTTCGAAATGGTATTCAGACGAAATGTACGTTTTGTAAAAAATTCGAGAGCATAAGGCACTTTACGTTATCTAATTCATTATCACTAATATCATAAATCACAAGGCTAATTCCTAATTCTAAATATCTATGAACGCACAAATATAAAAATATTGTCACTTATAATCGTAAATCGTTCAAACCTACACGTGTCTATAGGGATGTAACAAAATATTGCTCATTTACAATGTATTAGACTACTAGTGAGTTCTGAGAAACAGAATCACTTATTTCTTGTAGAATTTCACTTGTGAGCTCCTGGGCATTCACTTGTAACTATTAGTGATTACTATTATGATTTTGAAACGCGATTTCCGCGATATATTTTTATTTTTCCTTCATGTTGTAAAAAAAAGTAATGCCAGAAAAAACCTAATCTAACTTTTGTGATGTTAATACCATGATTTTTTCTTGTTGCCCGTTCATCTATAAATACTCATCTCTTTTACGCAGTGAACATGCTGATTTTAAAATATACATATTCGGATATTGATCTGCTAGGCCTAATAAAAACCTGCAAATGAAAAGGTTTATTTATATTTCAGTATTTTTAATTATATATCCGTATTTAAATTATTAATATTAGTACCTATCTTCAGTATCGATTGCGAGTACGCACCTGTGAGGAAATAACCGGATCTTAACACAGTTCGGTCCAGAAGAAACATTCTTCTCACTAGTGTTATGTTTCTCTTGTGGATGAATTACAATTTGAAGCTTGCTACCAAGAAAAATGTTTGTTCTTAAAAGGAAATTGCGATAATGTCGTAAAAATTTCGCGCTTTGGCTAGATATGCAATAATTTCATATCACACATAGTTGACGAGCTGTAAGCGAAGAATTTAAAAAAGTGCAAACTTGTTTTTATTTTAAATTTTATTGGTGAAGTCGACAATTTTTGAAATAGCAAACCTCAAGTCCGAATTCATCGCCATACAAATCATCGTAATTTTCCTTAATCGTGCCTTTTTGAGTAGAAAAAGAGTGGCATATCTGTGCTGCAATTCCATCGGAACGAGAAAGTCCTCTGTTTTGCCTCATAAAGCGAGAAATACGTCTAAAAATAATTCTAAAAATTCTAAAACTACACTAGTAACGCAATAATTCTGACGAAACTATGTAGTTTGGGGAAAGTTGTGCAATGATAAAAAATGATTTTCGATTTTTCGACCGAATAAAACTTTTTGTGTTACTCGGTTATAGAAAAAATGAGTTATGTCTCGAATGTTGTACAATCAAAATTCTCGTTTTGGGAGACAGTGTTTCCAATTTCTTTTCCTTCTGTTCGTCCGTGAACAAAACTAGCGCCTATACCCAATAGGGAATTTCACCAAAATTTATATTCACCATTCTATTTGATGTCGCGTCCCCCCAAATTTGAAACGGATCTTCTAATTTTGAAGTGTAGGCGCGTGTGAAGCCATAACCATCTCAGGGTTTCAACTCCATCGGAGGAAGAAAGATCGCATACACCCTGTCACAGGGCGGAAAGTGCGTGACAGGTAGACGCAACAATTGCCTGCAACTCTAAGTTATGGCGACGGGGCGGCAGCGGAGACATTTCATAAGTCAGACGTACGCAGCTTGCTCTGTGCACTGGCCCGACATACAGAGGATCGCAACACGTGTGCGCGACGCGTGCAGCCGAGGCGCCGCCCTGATTCCGCCCAGGCGCGAAACGAAACGCATTTACTCTGGGAACGGGGGAAGCAGATTTAAGGGTGGAGAGACACTTAAGAATGGATCGAGGTAGTTCTATAGATTCAGCGTTTTGCGGAATATTTACCTGAGCTGTGGTCAGACATTTTATGGGGGTCATGGATTTTGTTGTATAAATGTTCAAGAACTACGCGTCAAAAAGTTTGAGTTGCTTTCATAAAAATTTATTACAATAATTAAATAGATGTAAGCAAATATTAAATATATTACGTTCAATATATGTCATATACTA